TAGTTATATCTAGCCTGAATGTAGTTATATCTAGCCTGAATGTAGTTATATCTAGTCTGAATGTAGTTATATCTAGCCTGAATGTAGTTATATCTAGCCTGAATGTAGTTACATCTAGTTGAATGTAGTTATATCTAGCCTGAATGTAGTTATATCTAGCCTGAATGTAGATATATCTAGCCTGAATGTAGTTATATCTAGCCTGAATGTAGTTACATCTAGCTGAATGTAGTTATATCTAGCCTGAATGTAGTTATATCTAGCCTGAATGTAGTTATATCTGGCCTGAATGTAGTTATATCTAGCCTGAATGTAGTTATATCTAGCCTGAATTACCTGGAGAGAGTTTCGGGGGTCAACGCCCCCGCGGCCCGGTCTGTGACCAGGCCTCCTGGTGGATCAGCGCCTGATCAACCAGGCTGTTGCTGCTGGCTGCACGCAAACCAACGTACGAGCCACAGCCCGGCTGATCAGGAACTGACTTTAGGTGCTTGTCCAGTGCCAGCTTGAAGACTGCCAGGGGTCTGTTGGTAATCCCCCTTATGTGTGCTGGGAGGCAGTTGAACAGTCTCGGGCCCCTGACACTTATTGTATGGTCTCTTAACGTGCTAGTGACACCCCTGCTTTTCATTGGGGGGATGGTGCATCGTCTGCCAAGTCTTTTGCTTTCGTAGTGAGTGATTTTCGTGTGCAAGTTCGGTACTAGTCCCTCTAGGATTTTCCAGGTGTATATAATCATGTATCTCTCCCTCCTGCGTTCCAGGGAATACAGGTTTAGAAACCTCAAGCGCTCCAGTAATTGAGGTGTTTTATCTCCGTTATGCGCGCCGTGAAAGTTCTCTGTACATTTTCTAGGTCGGCAATTTCACCTGCCTTGAAAGGTGCTGTTAGAGTGCAGCAATATTCCAGCCTAGATAGAACAAGTGACCTGAAGAGTGTCATCATGGGCTTGGCCTCCCTAGTTTTGAAGGTTCTCATTATCCATCCTGTCATTTTTCTAGGAGATGCGATTGATACAATGTTATGGTCCTTGAAGGTGAGATCCTCCGACATAATCACTCCCAGGTCTTTGACGTTGGTGTTTCGCTCTATTTTGTGGCCAGAATTTGTTTTGTACTCTGATGAAGATTTAATTTCCTCATGTTTACCATATCTGAGTAATTGAAATTTCTCATCGTTGAACTTCATATTGTTTTCTGCAGCCCACTGAAAGATTTGGTTGATGTCCGCCTGGAGCCTTGCAGTGTCTGCAATGGAAGACACTGTCATGCAGATTCGGGTGTCATCTGCAAAGGAAGACACGGTGCTGTGGCTGACATCCTTGTCTATGTCGCATATGAGGATGAGGAACAAGATGGGAGCTAGTACTGTGCCTTGTGGAACAGAGCTTTTCACCGTAGCTGCCTCGGACTTTACTCTGTTGACGACTACTCTCTGTGTTCTGTTAGTGAGGAAATTATAGATCCATCGACCGACTTTTCCTGTTATTCCTTTAGCGCGCATTTTGTGCGCTATTACGCCATGGTCACACTTGTCGAAGGCTTTTGCAAAGTCTGTATATATTACATCTATATATATTATATCTAGCCTGAATGTAGTTATATCTAGCCTGAATGTAGTTATATCTAGCCTGAATGTAGTTATATCTAGTCTGAATGTAGTTATATCTAGCCTGAATGTAGTTATATCTAGCCTGAATGTAGTTATATCTAGTCTGAATGTAGTTATATCTAGCCTGAATGTAGTTACATCTAGTTGAATGTAGTTATATCTAGCCTGAATGTAGTTATATCTAGCCTGAATGTAGTTATATCTAGCCTGAATGTAGTTATATCTAGCCTGAATGTAGTTATATCTAGCCTGAATGTAGTTATATCTAGCCTGAATGTAGTTATATCTAGCCTGAATGTATCTAGCCTGAATGTAGTTACATCTAGTTGAATGTAGTTATATCTAGCCTGAATGTAGTTATATCTAGCCTGAATGTAGTTACATCTAGTTGAATGTAGTTATATCTAGCCTGAATGTAGTTATATCTAGCCTGAATGTAGTTATATCTAGCCTGAATGTAGTTATATCTAGCCTGAATGTAGTTATATCTAGCCTGAATGTAGTTATATCTAGCCTGAATGTAGTTATATCTAGCCTGAATGTAGTTATTTCTAGTCTGAATGTAGTTATATCTAGCCTGAATGTAGTTACATCTAGTTGAATGTAGTTATATCTAGCCTGAATGTAGTTATATCTAGCCTGAATGTAGTTATATCTAGCCTGAATGTAGTTATATCTAGCGTGAATGTAGTTATATCTAGTCTGAATGTAGTTACATCTAGTTGAATGTAGTTATATCTAGCCTGAATGTAGTAATTTCTTGACGTGCTTGACTAGGTGTGGATTCCAAACTGGTGCTGCATACTCCAGTATGGGCCTGACGTAGATGGTATACAGAGTCTTAAACGAATCCTTACTGAGGTAATCGGAACGCTATCCGTAGGTTTGCCAGGCGCCCGTATGCTGCAGCAGTTATCTGATTGATGTGCGCCTCAGGAGATATGCTCGGTGTTATACTCACCCCCAGTTCTTTTTCCTTGAGTGAGGTTTGCAGTCTTTGGCCATCTAAACTATATTGTGTCTGCGGTCTTCTTTGCCCTTCCCCAATCTTTATGACTTTGCATTTGGCAGGGTTAAATTCAAGGAGCCAGTTGCTGGACCAGGCTTGTAGCCTGTCCAGGTCTCTTTGTAGTCCTGCCTGATCCTCGTCCGATTTGATTCTTCTCATTAACTTCACATCATCTGCAAACAAGTAGGCTCAGTAGTGCCCACAATTCGAACATTATCATGCTCATTTAGCAATCTCACTAGTTTAGTTCCATTGGTGTTTGTTATAGACCCACCAATATTCTTATGTCTGGCATTAAAATCTCCAAGAATGATGGTAGGTTCACTATTGATGCGATCTGGTAAAGCATCAGGTCGAAGCTGGTTCGCTGGGGCATAGAGATTAAAAATGTTTATGGAAAAATCGCCTGCATATACTTTGACACCATGATACTGCATGTTAACTCGACTCTGCAAGGAAAGGAGTGAATGTGGCAAGCTCTTTATGACATACATCACACAACAGTTGGTTGACCTTAGGTTATAAGCTGCATATCCAGGCAAGTTTGGTGGATATGCAGCTTATAACCTAAGGTCAACCAACTGTTGTGTGATGTATGTCAGAAAGAGCTTGCCACATTCACTCCTTTCCTTGCAGAGTCGAGTTAACATGCAGTATCATGGTGTCAAAGTATATGCAGGCGATTTTTCCATAAACATTTTTAATCTCTATGCCCCAGCGAACCAGCTTCGACCTGATGCTTTACCAGATCGCATCAATAGTGAACCTACCATCATTCTTGGAGATTTTAATGCCAGACATAAGAATATTGGTGGGTCTATAACAAACACCAATGGAACTAAACTAGTGAGATTGCTAAATGAGCATGATAATGTTCGAATTGTGGGCACTACTGAGCCTACTCACATATATGGTGGCATACTAGATCTGTGTCTTGGATTTAATACATCATATACGATGCATGACTCTGTCATAGTTGATGATCTTCTATCTGATCACTTCCCAAGACTAACAACTGTCAATCTTGATCACATCTCCAGCAATCAAGGAGCTAAATACAGAAGGAGGAAACTTATTCTCAAACCAGAACACAGAGACAACTTTATTAACCACTTGGATCAATGGTATAAGAATTACGAGCCCATTGGCACACAAAAATTTAATGATGATTTGATTACCACTATTGAGAGTGTTCTCACAGATCAAGTGGGCAGGAATAGGAAACAAAAACCCTCCACTATAAATAACAATAAAAATCAATGTAAATACTATAATGATCCACAGCTGCGCAATCTAACACATGCAGCTAGGAGGATTGGTAAAGCATACATTGAATGTAGAACCCCAGACCTGCTCAGAACGTTCCAAGCTGCACTAACAAATGCAAGGAATAGAAAGGAAGAACTTAGGCAACAGGAATGGGAACAGTTTGTTAGTGGATTAAATAGGTCCACCCCTTTGAGTTTGGCTTGGAAAGGTATAAATAAAATAACCAGGAAAAAGACTGGCAATGTTGCTCATCCCTTTCCTCTTGAAAAAGCAAATGACCTCATAAATGACTGGTCCAAAACATCCAGGCATGAAAGCCTTCCATCTCATGAAATACAAGAATAACTACCTGTCTGTATAGCCTCGGAAATATTCACTAACACAAATAATAATAATAATAATAATCTTTTGTGTAATCAAGACGACACCAGCAATGTTGTGCTGTGCACAGGAGTGATAGCGTCATCTTAATCATCGGTCCTCGAGAAGTTCAACAGTAGGCGCTGTTGTATAGAAACATTCTTAATTTTTACCTCATCACTATAAATAGACAAGTAGCTAACGCTACGTACTTTCGTGCAACCTGGACACAGGAACGTATTTCTGACATTTATAATTCAATTAAAACCCCAAAACTTGAATTATTAGAGCTTAAAATAATGTTTTCCCTGTTTCCCAATAAGTTGAGTGACTCACTTGTATTCCTTGGTGCAGATTCTCTCTATGATGGGTGCTGCTGGGTAGAGTCTCAGCACCTCACTGACCACAGCATCCAGGTAAGGCAGTGTCATCAGCCGGTCATGATCCACCTGTCCGTCGCTCCTGTCATATTGCCACCACGTTTACTTTCTCCCTTTCTATATACCTCATTCCTGCTCTGAATGACCCACTCGGGTTTAGAATTATTTTTATGATTATTATAACACCAAAATTCTACTTTTCTCTCAGTGAGTTTATTCTTAGGATTTTACCTCAGTTGTCCAACTCAAAACAATTATCAACCAACAATGGGTAGCTATTAGAAAAATCCCAGCAAAACTTAAGCACCGCTCTATACCACTGTTCAAATCCTCTAGTCTACTAAATATAAATGCCATATATACTACCGTTCACTCTAAGTCTTTAAAACATTACACTGTGATGCTGACCGAAGATACTTGCTGGAACACTGACACAACACAAACATTACACTGTGATGCTGACCGAAGATACTTGCTGGAACACTGACGCAACACAAACATTACACTGTGATGCTGACCGAAGATACTTGCTGGAACACTGACGCAACACAAACATTACACTGTGATGCTGACCGAAGATACTTGCTGGAACACTGACGCAACACAAACATTACACTGTGATGCTGACCGAAGATACTTGCTGGAACACTGACGCAACACAAACATTACACTGTGATGCTGACCGAAGATACTTGCTGGAACACTGACGCAACACAAACATTACACTGTGATGCTGACCGAAGATACTTGCTGGAACACTGACGCAACACAAACATTACACTGTGATGCTGACCGAAGATACTTGCTGGAACACTGACGCAACACAAACATTAAATAAGAAATACCTCTTTAATATTCCTGGCCAACACCTTAACCTCCATATTGTAGAAACTCGATGCAAAGAAAAGGGACAAAATTGTGGAATAATTTGCAAGAGGAATTAAGAAAATTGTAACTCTCTTAATGAATCCAAACTTACAAAAAATAGTGTGGTTAAAGTATTTTTCTGAAACAATTTGTAATGTAACTCATAAATTGTCATTATACTTTTACGTCCAAGTTACATATTACACCATGTTCATTTTTATTTAAATTTAATTCTGCCTTTTACTACTGTTATTCCATCATTATTTTCCTACATTATCAACTGAACCCAAACTTGCCAGATTAATAAGTACGTCATGGGTTATGACACAAAGTGACACATGTCTCAACAGTGACACAAGGTGACACATTTCTTAACCTAACAGTGACACATGACTTAATTTCAGAAGGTGGCAACACCACTTGAAGGCTTCCTCGAAGATTATATCTGGCAGCGTTAGCTTGTGCACTACAAGCTACTGGGCAGTTAGAGCCAGGACCACCTCCCTCCTGAGTGTGGCCTGGACAGGTAGACAGGTTGTATACTTACTGAGGTAGAGCCAGAGCCACCTCCCTCCTGAGTGTGGCCTGGACAGGTTGTATACTTACTGAAGTAGAGCCAGAGCCACCTCCCTCCTGAGTGTGGCCTGAACAGGTAGACAGATTGTATACTTACTGAAGTAGAGCCAGGACCACCTCCCTCCTGAGTGTGGCCTGGACAGGTAGACAGGTTGTATACTTTCTGAGGTAGAGCCAGGACCACCTCCCTCCTGAGTGTGGCCTGGACAGGTAGACAGGTTGTATACTTACTGAAGTAGAGCCAGGGCCACCTCCCTCCTGAGTGTGGCCTGGACGTGTGGGTGGTGAGATAGCAGGTGCAGAGCCATGGCCAGGGTGTTGGCTGTGTTCTCGTAGCCAGCCAGCAGAAAGAGTATGGACTGAGCAGCCATAGTGTCGTTTGACAAACCTTGCAAACAATAATATTGTTAAAAAATAGGATGGTAACCATGTAATTTATAAATTCCAATAATAATTAGGATGATTTACAAATTATGTGCAAATTGAAAATTAAAACTGGATGACTTTTCGGTCTATCCTGAACAGATATCAGGTAACTTCATTTCAGGTGAAGTCCCTTGATGTTGATGAAGGGTCCTTGATCCAAGGAACTAGAGTTATATAATAATGGGTTTAGCATTTCCCCAAGACTATAATAATAAAATCACTAGCTATACACAAATAGCCCGCATATAGGAGAGAGAACTTGACGGCGACGTTTGGGTCCGACTTGAACTGAAACGTCGTGGTCAGTTCCCCTTTCCTATGTGCGTGTTATTTGTGTATTGTTTCAGTCACGGTATTGTGCCATTTTTGATCTTTAAAGTCACTAACTACTTGATGATAGTCCAGGATGGACCGAATTGTCATTGGGATTTTATTTCCATTTTTGGGATTACTTATAAATCATGGATTTCAGTACATAGTATACACACATAGTATACACACACATAGTATACACACATAGTATACACACATAGTATACACACATAGTATACACACACATATTATACACACACATAGTATACACACATAGTATACACACATAGTATACATACAGTATACACACACTATACAAACATGTCGTCTGCTTGCTACAGTAAGTGCGCAAGGAACAGGATTCAGAAGAAACAAAACAACAGTGAAACCGCGAAAAAATGGTTGGGAAATATAGCTCGGCAATTGTTTTTTTTTTTTTATGGAACAAGGTTATTCTTTTGTTATACTTGTCTCTCCTTTGATTTTGGTTTCCATGAGCATGTCTAGGAAGTCCCCCCGTCGCTGTCCAGTCTCCTGACGTCTGGTGATAGTGTGGGTCGCTACCTCCCTGAAGAATTCGAACTCTGAGCTGGTGAACTGTAGCCCCAGGCTATGGGCTATTTCAGCCACTCGGGGAGCCATTAACAAGATTATTACCTGCAGAAAAAAGGCCATATGAATTATAGCTATACCTATGTGATTTATGGTTATTCGCACATGAATTACAGTTACTTGTAAGTGAATTATATATTTCTATACACGTAAATTAATTTCATAATGAGTTAAGTTAATCTGACGTGACTGTATGTTCCGTGCAATAATAATACTATCTTTATTTCTACAAGTACATGTACAAGGTATATAGGCCTAACTGACATTAATGACATACTGTACATTGAAAGTTGCTTGTTATGCAGAGCATTTCGGACAAATTAGCTCAATTTTGTCCCAGGATGCAACCCACACCAGTTGACTAACACCAAGGTACCCATTTTACTGACTGATGAACAGAGACGGTAGGTGTCTTATAGATCCATGCCCCTAGATACATGTGATCCTAGGCAAGCCTCAGTGACCCGGATTACCCTGAGTGACCGACCTTGAGTGCCCTGACGGGAGAGAGCTGGAAGATCCTGGTAGCCATAGTGGGAAAAATGGCAGCTTCTTTGGTCAGCGAGTCACACTCTATACCGAAGGCCCAGGAGGCGATGGGGGTCCATATGAATTTTTCCACACAGCTGCCGCGCCTGCAACCAAATCACCCCAGCTCAACCTACATATGTAACAAAATCCTGGTTTATACAGTATGACGGGGAAAAAATATAGTTAGTTTTTGTTCCCACTATGTAACTGTTATAGAGAATAGGGTGACAGCACATTGCTGGTGCAGCCAAGTTTCCTAAATAAAAAAAATCTTAGTAGCACCATTAACTCTACATCAATGCGTCGAATAAAAATATATTAGGATTAGTAAACCCGGGGAGTTAATAGCCCAGGAAAACCCCAGGTAATAACCCTGTGATAAACCCAAATGGGTTAATAATTCACGATGGCCCAAGAAAATTAAGTAGTGTGACTTATTTCCATAAGGATTCTTATTAGGTCCTCTTTAGAATACGATGCTAGGTGACAGGGGTAGCAGGTGTTAGGAGACTTTCTCATTCGTCTCGCCGAGCCCGAGAAACGAACCCGGGTCTTTTAGGCTCTGAGCTGAACGCACTATCGTTGAATTACAGTTAAATTGATCGTATATTAAGTAACTTTTAACTTACTTCAACAGGGGCCCGGGTTGCTGTACTCCGGCCACAGTGACAAGTGCTTCCGGGGGGAAGGAGAAGAGCC